TTAAGCTTAGGCAACCCTCGAACTAAATCACCTTGAATTAGCCGTTGTAAAACACTCATACTAGCATGACCTAGTCTCCTATGCCATAACCAACTATCATGCTCATCCTTAGCAACTAGGCATAAATTAGTCATATCAATAGAATCTAAATGCACCATGTAAATGTTTCCTATTCTATGACCAACAAGCATAATCCGATTAGATGCAATGTCAATGACTTTACAACCATTAATTTCAAATAAGACATTGAATCCTTTATCGCATAATTGACTAATACTCAATAGATTATGCTTTAATCCATTCACATATAAAACATTCTTAATTTGTATGGAAGAGGTATTACCTATTGTACCAATACCTTCAATGTGACCTTTTGAATTGTCTCCAAAAGTCACTTCTCCTCCATTTTTGGCGTTAAGCTCAATGAACCGGCTTTTGTCTCCGGTCATATGTCTTGAGCATCCACTATCAAGGTACCATGAGTTTGAATTTGTTTCCCGTGCCTTGTAGCAATGCTCCTTTCCCTACAAACATAGATTAATTTTTGATTTTTGGTACCCAAATTCTTTTGGGTCCATATTCATTAGTTTCCAAAATCCTAGTCCCTTTAGGTATCCATTTGTGTAGGATATTTTTATCTTTAGTAGTAATGAGTTCTTTAGGAACCCACACACTTCTAATGATTTTTCCATTAGAGGTTCTTTGGGGACCTCTATGATTGTAGTTTCTAAAACTTTTTCTAACAAAGTTGGATTTTGAATTTTCACCTTTTTCAAAATGTTTTGTTCCAACTTTATCAAAGAAGTTTTAAGATCATCAATTTTCTTTTGATGATCATCATTGATCTTTGAAAGTAAATTTTGCAAATCTAAATTTTTCTTTTCAAACTCTTCTAGTTTGATTTGCAAATTTTTGATTTTACTTTCAAGATCGTTGTTGGTTTTGGATATGAGTTTGTTTTCATTTTTCAATTTTGAAACATCATTTTTATATTTTAAAAACAATTTCTCATAATCCGAAGCCAACCCATTGTACTCCTCAAATAACTCATCATAAGATAAATCATCAAAATCAGATGAGTTAGAGGTTACCTTAGAATCTTCCCCGAATGCCATCAAGCACAAGTTTGCTACTTCTTGTTCCTCTTCATCGGAACCTTCTTCATCGCTCCATGTAGCCACATGAGCCTTGTGCTTATTCTTTGATTGACCCTTTTTCTTCAATTGTGGGCAATCATATTTGACATGCCCCGGCTTTTTGCATTCATAGCAAATGATTGGGTCCTTCTCTTTTGGTTCATTTTTGAGGCCTTCGTTTCGTTTGAATTTTCTTCCTTTGTAAGGTCTCATCATTTTTCTGAACCGTTTGGCAAACAATGCCATTTCCTCGTCATCATCATCATTAGAATCACTCTCATCTTTTATGGATTTGAGAGCAACTCCAATGTTTTTCTTCTTTTCCTTCTCCTTTGGTGTCTCTTCAACTTTATCAAGGTCCACCTCATCTTCAAGCATCATCTCATGAGTGAGGAGTGAACCGATAAGTTCTTCAAGAGTTAAGGACGATAGGTCCTTAGACTCGATGATTGTCGTCTTCTTTGATTGCCATGATTTTGGGAGGGAGTAGACTAACTTCCTCACAAGCTTTTCATTTGAGATGATCTCTCCATATGATTTGAGACCATTGACAATCGTTGAAAATCTATCCGTCATAGCTTTGATGTCTTCATTTGGTTTCATCCTGAAATTTTCATAGCTATGCGTTAGAATACTAATTTTTGATTTCTTTACCTCATCTGTACCTTCATGTGTGACTTGAAGTTTGTCCCATATTTCTTTGGCGGTTGTACACGATGAAACTCTTCCGTATTCATCTGGTCCAAGAGTACAAAAAATAATATGGATGGCTTTGGAGTTGAGCTGGAACATTCTTGTCTCTCCTTCACTCCACAACCTTGGATGAGTGAGAGGTTTGATGTATCCTTCTTCTACAGCATTCCATGCTCCCATGTCACTTGCTTGAATGAAGTACATCATTCTATTCTTCCAATAGGCATAGTTAGCTCCATTGAAGAAAGGAGGCTTGTTGACGGGCATCGAATCGAGACCGGAGTCGAAGTTTGAAGTGGAGGCCATTGATGACTTTGTAATCGATGTAACTCTTCCCGGATCGACTCAAGAGGCGATTAAACCTTCAAATGAGTTAGGCTCTGATGCCAATTGTTGAGTTAATCGAATGACGAAATTGGCCAAGAGGGGGGGTGAATTGGCAATAAAAATTTTGTGGAAGCTTTTGCAGAAAATTGAAAGTAATTGCACAGCGATTTACAGTGGTTCGACTTTCTCAAACAAAGTCTACGTCCACTACCTTAGCTATCCACACTAAGGATTTTCCAACAAATTCACTAATTTGTTCTTTCTTTTGAGGCCAAAGAGATAACCTTACAATTCCCTCAAGAGTATACCCCAACTCTTGAGAACACTCTTTTCTCAAAGAGAAGATTACAAATTTGCAAACTTACAAGAAAACCTCACAAGGTAAGATGTTTGCACAATTCTAGAACAAAGAAAAGAACACTCAAAGATGAATACAACTGAGCACAAAAGTGTTCTTGAAAGCAAAATGAATATTGAATGAAAATGGGCTTGAAATGCTCAAACTTGAGGTTTGATGCTTTCTCTTTGATTCTCTCTTGATTCTAGTTGCTTGATGTTTCTTGTTTTTGATCAATGGCTTCTAAGCTTGCTTAAATACACCTTGGATCACTTCTGAACGTTGGGGATAATTAGAGAAGATATTATAGCCGTTTTAGTGTGAAAACATTTAATAAAACAGCTTGGACAGTGGGGGGAATCGGTTCCCTCTCATAGGGAATCGGTTCCCTAAGTGTAAAATTCAAATATTTCGACCGTTGAACAAGGGGGAATCGGTACCCCCTTTGGGGGAATCGGTTCCCTCCGAGCATTCTGGAAATCTCGGAGCCAAACCATTCATGGGGGAATCGGTTCCTCCTATGGGGGGGAATCGGTTCCCTCTGAGTATTCTGGAATTTTTGGCTTTGAATTGGTTCGAAATACTTTGTAAAATATTTTGAAATTGTTTTATGATTAAAACTTAATTTTACACTTAAGTAAGGATCAAAAATGATTTTTGAAATATTTGGAGTAATGTTTTGATATTCGAATAGTTATATCGAATATACTTAGAAAATCATTTGGAAAATCTTAAAATTCATTTAACTTAATTTGTTATATCGAAATATTAAAATGTTTCAACAATTTAATTTTAGGAGAAGAATTGTGTATTATATCATTTTATTAAGAACCTTAAGTTAGTGATACCTAGCCGTGTCTTGTCGTATTTAGTAGACGCTAGATTCGGTTACATAGGTAGATATCAGGGTCACTGTAAGATAAAATCATATCTTATTTCTGTCTTAGTAGAGCGGTGGAGGCCGGATACCCACACATTCCATCTTCCGTGCGAAGAATGCACGATTACACTTGAGGATGTTGCTATGCACCTGGGGCTTCCGGTGGATGGAGATGTGATATCAGGGATCGCGCAGGGTTTCTGGACTACTTTGTGCCGGGAAAATCTAGGACGTGTCCCGGAAAATTTTAACGGTGGTCGGATACCGTTAAATTGGTTAGATGCTAATTTTCGGGAGTTGAGCAAAGACGCCTCTGATGATGAAGTTAAAATGTATGCACGGGCATGCATGCATACTGCAAAAAAAAAACAACTGAAACAAATCTAATTAAATAAATAATATATGAACGAAAATATAGCCTAAATTTTTTTTACACATAAACGTAAATAATGTAAATAATATAATTTTATATTATTACATGCACCGCAAAACTATTTCGACGTATACTCTCACTTTTCAATTTTACAAACACAGAAATTAATTGACAATAATTAGTATAATATTTTTCATATAATCATAATAAACAATAAGTATAATAAAAAATTATAACAAAATTACCTTATAACGAAAAATCGAACGCACTTCTGAATCAAATATGAGAAGATTGTCAGATTGTTGTATTAATTTTTTTCTGTTGAAAAGAGATGTGAGGAGTTCATGGGGGAAGGATATTTATAGCCGAGAAAAGTTATTATAATTATACAAGATGTGGTACTTACACCGCGCCTTACATAATTATATCATATAAAGCTAAGGCGCGGCCCCAGGGCTGCGCCGAATATAATTGTGTCAGATTCACAGTTAAAGTGTGGTTCCTGCCTCGCGCTATACCTTACGTGGCTTAAGGCGCCCCCAGGGACCGCGCTATACACACGTGTATCCCATGTCAGCACGGGGTGCCTTACCCACGTGACGCCAAATCAACGTTAAACACGCTATAGGGGGCGTGTCTTTCTGCAAAATATGTTAAATCAAAAAATATAATCTGAACGGTATTTGAACGGAAATATTAAATGAAAAAGATGATTTTTCGAGATAAACGCGCAAAAAAGCAAATTATACATATTGATTTCACGATGATTAAATGGTGAATATTGCATATTATAATGCGAATTTAGAGTTTTAAGGTTCAGTTTTATAAATTTTAAAGTAATTTTAGATCAAATATAAATTAATAAAGTGACATAAAACAATGAGATATCTGAATGATAGAAAAAATGTTAAAAAATGATAATTGTAAAGTTGATGTAACATAAAGATAAAACTATAAATAAATTATATTTAAAGGAGAAGGATAAAATAAAAAAATTTGACATGAATGATATATAAATTTTATGACAATAAAAAACGATTCACATCGAAACTGTTATATTATTTTTTTATTTATGAAGTAATATTCTAATGACAAATAAGAATAAATTAGAAAAATTTTACTTTTAATTATTAAAATAATAATAAAAATAGCAAGTGATAAAATTTATAATATTAAAAAAAAAAAGTGAATTAAGACTTAAGACAAGGAGCTAATTTCAGCCATGCCCAATCTCCCTCTATATCTCATTATCTCTCCCTCTGCCCTAAATAAAAGGATCCTCTCAGCCACAAAGAAACAGACAAATCCCCATCACAACATTGATTTGATAGGCCATGACCTTCAATTCACTGTCCCCACTCCCCCATCAAAACACAGTCTGAATCTTACACTCTTCCGTACTTCACCCTATTAGTCAATTACTTTATTAACCCATTCTCCATACTGTGTAAAAATGTAACATTCAAGACATGGACCGTGGCACCTTCAAAGACACATGTTCTACTTTGATTATCAACTCAAACCCACTGGTTTATTTACATGATATCATAATGTTCACATTTTTACTAACAAACCACATGTTGCAAGATCCGGGAACTACGACGAGGATGATGAGGTTTCATCATCGTCGTCTGAGGAACCGTCGTGTTGTGTTACGTTGAGTCCGGGGAAAACCGGTAGCAGGGTGGGATTTGGTAATGGTCGGGCTGAGCAGCATATCGTCCTCTCATTGACCTTTGCAACTTCCTTGCATACTTGATCGAGGATAGAGAGGAAATCCCTGACGACCATGAAGATCCGGAATGGATGAGCTTCTTCCTTGGTTGAGTTGCCATGGAAATACTCGGTTATCTCCTTTACCATGGAGAGGGCCACTCTATCTTGTTCTTGGATCCTGACAATCTCTTCCTCGGCTTTCTTGAGGAACTCGATCATCGATTCCGAGAATTTGCGGCTACTGTCTTTCAGAGCAATCTCTTCGTTTAGTTTTATAACTTCTCGGATTTTAGAGATACCAGTAGCAAGTTTTGCAACATCGATGCTGAGAACGTCCGAGTCCATAGCGGCAGCCTTCTTCACGTTAGTTAGCTCCCCGCTTAGACCAGAAACGACTTGCAGGCCGACCTTACTAAAGTCGACATCATCCTGAAAATCAGACTGCTGTGTTTTCTCAGCTTTCAGATTCCGATTAGCACTGGAAAGGCGAGAACCTTCGGCTCGGATGATTTCCTGAACAACAAAATGCAGAAGCGTGGTTTTCCCATCGGTGCCCTTTACATCAACGAGCTTTAAGAGTGTGTCGAGCTTGAACGCTTGGGCATCGCCTCGGTTGGTGCCAACATTCATGCGGTTTCCAGTTTTGAGCACTGCCTCCAAAAGCTTCAGAAACATTTTGCTGTTTCGCAGCTCTCCGCATGCGGCCTGCAGAATTTCACCAAAACAGTAAACCGAAACATTAAAATCCATTGATTCAGAACAGATGAAGATCAGAATATCAAGACTAGTGTGTGCATGTGGCATACAACATGGATCAACAATGAGTGCCATAAGCATACAGACAGGCAATTGAGAAATATACCTCTAAAGTTTCAAAAGACCGTTTCAGGTACTCGATTTCAGAGTCAAAATTAGCAATGTAAAGCATCGCATCGACCCTTTTGAAGGCAAAAGGTATGTTGAGCACTGCCTTGAGGAACTTCTCGGCCGGACCTAGCTTAAAAGGGGATTTATCAGTGAAGTCCTTCAGCTTACGCTCTTCTTCGTTGGTTGGAGCCATTTTTAATAAGCTTTCCAACAGCTCGGTCCCAAGAGTGTCTGAATTACCTGTTCAGAGAGAAGAAAGTGGAAGCAGTTTAGATATAGAATTAAAGGTGAGAATGGACTATTTACAGCAAAACCCCTAAAGCAATTGCAAACAGCATCGAATACACAGTTATCTTCACTGGATTTCCATCGACCCCAACCTCATCAAAATAAGTAAAGACACAACAGACGATAGACAGCAACTGAGAAATTAGAAACATGTCTCAACTCCGGACGATAGAGAACTATATCTTATACCAGTGCTACACCGGTAAATCATTAGAGTTTGTCTTGGTATCGAACTCAATATTTTCTGGTAGAGGCACAAGCATTTTAAACCGGGAGATCCGGTGCATTGCAATGTAACCTTAGACTCTAAGGAGCTTTGTTTCCATCATTTTACCGATTCTTCGTATTTGCTATGTATATGGATTGATTACCTTCCATAAGAGCTTCACAGACTTCCTCAATGGTCACATTTAGTGCCCTCAACAAAATTGCAATGTTCTGGGACTTCTTCGGATCGAGCACACGGTTTTCCTGATTAGAAGACGGCAAACTCTGCCGGCGACCAATGTCTTTGGCGGGCAATTTTGAATTATTCACCGTAAACAGCGTCTCAATCATTTCTTCATTCAGTCTGCAAGCACCATTATAGCACTCTACTACTTAAACAACATTTAAAAAGCAATGAACAGATACTAAATAGGGATGCGAGTGTCTCACTGAAATGAGCTTGATTTGATCTGATCCCACACCATGGCTCGATCTGAACTTGCTCGAACTTTATCCCAATGCAAAGGCTTCAACTTCGGTTTTGGAGTCTCAGCAGCATTCCTCTCTAAGCCTTCATTATTCTGCAACGACACTGGCCTGGAGGGTGCAATAAGGATCGGCGGTCCACCGGTTTTAGTCTCTGGTACAGAGTTCGCCATGGTGGGAACCTCCCAAAATCGCGCCGGAGGGAACGGTGGAGGTGGCGGTGGAAGCTTCTTAAGTACAACCTTTGATGGAGATTCCTTGTTCTGAGCTGAAGAACCTCGATCGGGAGAATACCTTTCCGAAGATGACGAAGATAATCTCGAAGATGAAGGTGAAGTTGAAGATGGATTCGTTACTTTCACTGTATATATAGGAACGACAGTATCTGGTGATCTTTGGCTCAAAGGACTCGAGTTCAAGAATGAATTCGAAGGTGAGCATGAGTTTGAATAAGGGTACGAAGCGGTTCTTGAGTTGAAGCTTCGACTGCCATAGATTTCGCCATGGAAGTCCCTCCTCGAGCTTGACTCGGTTCTTACTTGTGGAGGACTCTCTTTTCCATGTGAAGATCCTCTCGGTGAAAAGAACTCGTCTTCTTCGACTTCAACGTTAGTTTGAAAGCTACTCATTGGCGGAACTTGGATGAACTGTTCACCACTTGGAAAATTTTGGACCTTTGGCAATGGCGGCAATGGATTCAAATCAGGAGAGCCGAGCTTTTGATAAGGAGAAGATGTGACTCCTAGCTTGATACCCACATTGCCAGAAAGGGTTGTCGTTGTTGTAGCAGCGTCTACTCTAGTGTTAACAAGGGTACCCAAGTAGAGGAACTCCGAGCTACGATTCGTCGAGACGTAGCGCGGCGGTTGATGCGGCGGCGGCGGCGGTGGAGGTGGTGATTTCTGTGAGGCATCAGAAGGGGGAATGTTGGGAGGGAATAACCGGAGGGAGTCTGACCGGGAAGCTTTGTCGTCGGAGGAAGTGTTTTGGTCGCTGCGGTTGCGGAGGAAGAGGGTGATGGCTGCGACAGAGAGGATGATGGCGGCGGCGAGGAGGGAAACAGAGAGTGATATGAGGAGGAGGTGACGGCGGTGTGAGGAGGGGGAAGGAGATTGGGGTATGAGCAGGGAGGAAATGTTCGCGGGAAAAGTAGGGAGGGTCGACGACAGCGACGGAGGCGGCGGAGGAGAAGGGAAGGAAAGAAAAAATGGAGCTTGAGGGGTGGAAGGCGGAGTAGTGGAGAAAGGATACTTCGGCTGTTGATTTTGGCGAGGCTGAGGTTGCGGCGAGGGAAATGGTGGTGAAGCAGGAGGAGGATAAGTTGGTGGGAGGGTAGTATGTGGGAAGAAAGGCTGGTGGAGGAGACGTCGGTGGTGGTGGTCGTGGTCCAAAGAACAGGTGGTTGACACGGCGGATATGAACAGGAAAAAAGGTGGAAGAAGGTGGATCATGGCGGTAGCTACCATCTCCATTTTTTTACGTGAACGACACTTAAAAAACATCTCCTTTGAAAAAAGAAGAAGCTTGCTTGTTCCAACAATGGAGATTTATGTTTACTACAGAGAAAGATAAGTGAAGAAGAAAAACCAAACCAGAGACGAGATTGGAGCTCCGACAAGAGAATGTTCCAACTCTAAAGACACAGAGAGTGAAGAAGAATGATTGTTTAGTTTAGAGTTTTTAGACCTATAAACACACACTGTTTTCACCACTTTTTCCATAGACTAAACTCCTATTCAAAAATGATAAAACTTTGAACAAAAAAACCCAATCTTTGAACTGTGTAATAGAGAGAGAGAGAGAAATAGCAAACATATTTTTGTAAAATTTAGTGGGCGGATTTAATAATAAAAAGGAGTCGTAAGATATAAATATGTTATCAATTATTAAAAAAAATCTTAAACATATATTTTTTTATAATTATTTAGATTATTTTAAAAATATTATATTTTTATAATATTTAATTTTATAAAAAAAAATATGTTAAAAATCCTTAAGATATATATTCAAATAATTATTTGAATCAATAAATATTTTTAGTCATAAAATAATAATTGAATTTATTGAATTAATATAAAAAATTATCAAATAAATTTATCAAATTTATATATTTATAATATTTAAATATTTTAGTAATCAAATTATTTGAGTATTTTATCCTACTTTTCTATTTTAGCAGGAAAATATCTATAAATTAACCTAAAAGTGGGATTTTTTTTTCTTTAAAGAAAAGGATGGAGAAGGGGTTAAAAATGTCAGAGAGACAGACATTGTTCATTATTGGGATTTGCATCATTATTTATTTTTTTTAAATATGAAAAAGAAAATTGTGGTGAGATTCTTCCAAGTTGCAATGAAATATAAATAAATAAAGTATACAAATAATATCTCAACTATAAAATATTATTTTATTTAATCTCACGATTATTAAAATTTGTAAGATGATTATTTAATTATTTATGTATCAAACTCGTCATTTTTATTTTTAAAAATAATATTATCTAAGCTATACATTAAACTATAGACTAAATAAATTAAAAATCTAACCTTAGAATCTTAAAGAAATATCATATATTTAGTCAGTAAATTAACATTCAGCTTAGAAGACCCGTCATTTTTTTTACAAAAAAAGATGAGTTTAGAATATATGAGTAATCGAGTGATCACTTTGTAACATTTAATAGTTGAATGACTCAAAAAAATAATGTCATATAATCAAATGATTATTTTTATAACTTTTGATAGTCGATGAGTTTAATAAAATAGTATTTTATAATCGAGAGAATATTTATGTACTTTACACTATATAAAAAAGACTTTATTTCTTATTATATTTTTATTTTAATCATTTATCATTTATTTTTATAAATAAAATTATAAAAAATGAAATGTAAATCGTTAACAAGGAAAGAGAAAATAACATGAAAAGTAAAAAAAATTATTTCAATATTAACGTTAATTTTTTTTATTAATCAGTGATCAAAATAGAAAAAAATGTCAGTGATGATTTTACCAAAAAATTATTTTGGTGACTAAAGTAGAAAGTGTAATAAACTGGTGAGTTACTGATATAATTTACCCCTTTTTGGGGCGAGGTTAAAACTGTTTTGCTTGTGAAGAACTCTGATCGCTGATGGGATGGAGAGTGGAAAGGAATCCACCCAACGATGCTTTTCACACACTTTTTTAATGTTAGCATATTAATAATTTTTCTATTAATTCATGTATTACATAAATTATAGTATAAATTTTTTTTTATAATTTAACATTATTTTTAATTCTTATACTTTTAAATGTTAAATTCTAATTAACTAGTAATAGTTAAATCTAATTATTTCAATATTAACGTTAATTTTTTTTAATAATCAGTGATCAAAATAAAAAAAAAATGTCATTGATGATTTTACCAAAAAATTATTTTGACAACTTATTTTGCCTAAAGGAATCATCCAGGAAATAGAAAAGACTTGTATGAGATTCTTTTGGAAAGGTAGTGACTCCTCTGCTCGGGGTGCAAGAGTTAGATGGAGTCTGATTTGCACTTCTAAGTTCGAGGGTGGATTGGGGTTGAAGAGTTTGGTTGGATGGAATAAAACCTGTTGTCTGATGCTGATTAAAAACATACTAGCAAATGTTGGATTTCTGTGGATTGCCTGGACAAAGGCATACTACCTTAAGGCTGAGGACTACTGGAATATTGATGTCAAGCCTCATTTTAGTTGGACACTCAGGAAACTGATCAAGTTGCGTGAGGAGGCTAGAGGGTTATTCACTACTTCTGTCTGTTGGTCACAGGTTGAGGGGAGCTGGATTTGGGATAAAATTTGAGAAAAGAGGAGTAAGGTGGCCTGGCACCGCATCATCTGGTTCCCTGCTCATATTCTTAAGTTCTCGATGATAACGTGGATGGCAATCCTTAACAGGTTACCTACTAAGGAGAGTCTGAGCAGATTTGGTATGGTAACTGATATTAATTGTGTGTTCTGTGGTGCTGAGCTGTAATCTATAGCACATATCTTCTTGGACTGCCCTTTCTCGAATGAGGTCTGGAACTCTGTTTTGCAGCTTTGTGGGTTGCAGATATGTTGCCTGAACTGGGATGACCTGCTCTGCTGGTTGGTAAAGAATTTAAAAGAAAGATCCTTGCTTGTTCATATCCTTAAACTTGCTTGGACCGGTTTCATTTACTACATTTGGGAGGAGCGCAATCGCAGATTCGTTAGAAGTGTGATGCGTTCGACTGATTATATTGTCAATATTATCAAAGAGTGACGCAGGGGGATCCGAGACAGATGATGTTGAGCTGTCAGATTGCACCTTGATGGCGCTGAGATACCATGAATTGGCAGATCAGCGCAAAGGCGGGAATTGATTGTGACATGTTCCTCATTGGGGTCGTTTTGAGTATGTTTCAATCTTTTGACCATAACTTTGGCTACAGGTGTCAGAAGTATTTATGGTAATATTTCGATTGTCAATTAGGAAGTCAATTTAAATCCGATTTAGGCTGGATTTTTTTGGAGATTGCTTATTTTATTTCGAATTTCAATTTAGAGTGATTTCCGGGATTTTGCTATTTTTGACAAAATTCGAATAAAGACGATTTTTGGCTATAACAGTCCGGCTTGTGGACTGATTTTGGGCATTGTTTGATTTTATAATATTTTATTAAACCCTAAAAAAAATTCTCTGGTTTTTTTTGGGCAAATTTTCGCTATAACAGTCCGGCTTGCAGGATAATCACTATTCTGCCTGGCGTCAAAGAGGCTGTTAGAATCAAACTGTATAGATATAGTATGAATAGGCTAGATAATGTGAATAGGCAATTATGTAACGACTGGGGCCTAATATAACTGTTCTTACGTTTCTGTAGCAGCTTGTTGCTTCTTTGAATGAATATAAATTGATTATCCAAAAAAAATCTAATAAACCAATTTATTTTAATGGCTTTTGTATTATACTTAAGTCAGATGTTTCATTTTTGCTCTCTAATTTGCTTCATGTAATTTAATTGGATATTTAAATAATAAATTTATGTAAATATTACTTAAATTATACGTACCTATACATCACAATAATAGTGTGTTTTGGTGTGAGATACCCACTCTTAAATTTTCCGTATTTCAAATATTTTATAAAAATGTATAAAATCTTCTAAAAGTAAAATAAATATTTTATAGAACCAGACATGCATCCACACATGCGTACATAGTGTACCGTATCTTTGTCCTAACAATATCTAAATCTATTGAATAATCCAACCTAAATTTGTTTCTCGGAATTTGGATTTTGGACATTCTCTATACTCTTATAATTTTTAATAGACTTGCATTAATGTTAATTAAAATAAATTGATTAGTAGTTTAAGTTAATCACATGATTCTTTTAAGATTTAAATCTAAATTCGAGTATTTGTGTAGATTATGATATTCAAATATAAATTATTAAGGAATAACAAAATTCCTTAACTACTAGGATCATTTTGAGGATTCTTGATCACATGATTGTATATTAAAATCTTTAATGTTTTTATATATTTAAATAATTGGATTTATGTTTGTAACAAATACAATTATATTAATAAAATCTAATTGTTCAAACTTATCAATTACATTGAGGAATTAAATTTAAATTTAAAATAAAACTTATTATTTTGGTGTAAAATATATATTTTTCATTTTAAAAGTATAGAAAGAAATCCCAAAAGTCATTATCACTCTAATATAAGATTCATTTCATTAAAAATATATTCAATAAATAATAATACACTCTCAACAATACTTTGTCAAAAAAATTATGGATGTATTAAAAAATAATACTTTATAAATATTTTTAATTTTTGATTGAATAATTTATTTTTTATAGCTTTTAATATATATATATATATATTTATTTATTTAATTTTGTAATAGTACTTTCATAAATAATATCTGATTTTTTACTTGAATATTAAATAAGTTCTAAAATTTTATAAAAAAAATAAAGTCCTTTTTATCACTTTATCAATTATGTGTAGATCACTCTGTCAACACTATAATAATGGATAATGATTTTCGTTAATCAAATAATTATATTAATTGATTTTTTAGATTTAAATTTTTAATAATATGAAAATTTAAGATTTATTTTTTTAAAGTAAAATAACTTCTAACACCCTTAATTTAAAAAAAAACATTTCACTTTCTCATTTGTATTTATAGATTTGGATCTATTACTTTCAAATCCAAAAACCTTCACCTTTTTTACATTAATATAGAGAGGAGAGACAAAACCATCACTTTCAAACTAATAATAATCCTTGTTGTGGATCATTTACCTTATATGATTCAAACAGTTGATATAGTATGGATTCAAGTTGAGTTTAGTTAAATTGATATTATTATTGGCATAATATATATGAGAAGTAAAATAATACATATTAAAACGATCAATACCTTTTAATTTAAAGGTAATGTGAGCATTAGTAATGTCAGGGGTACGAAAGTTCAATGTCAAATGACTTAGAGTTATCTTTGAACATATACTACATTGTATTTACCCTCAGAGAATTAAAAAAAAAAGTAGGGTGAGCAATTGCAAATCCACAAATAATTTTTAAGGTGGATACACGTATGTTGACAATATAATTTTTTTGAATGAAATTGACACAAATAAAATTTCAAAGTGAGCACCGTCATTAAAATAGGTAACTAAATGAAGAAAATTTGGATTTCACGATGAA